CAGAAGAGGAGAGGAGAGGACAGAAGGGGATTTTTCTGTTTTGTTGGGTGGTTTATTTGACTGTGCACAGCTGGTAAATTTTCCCTGAGCAATTTCTGAGCACCCCTCCAACTTTTCTAACCTTCGCCAAGTGCCTGACAGAGCCAGGAAGCCACAATGGGGTTTCTGGAGGATGCAGAAGCCAGATGCAGCAGGCAAGCACCACGTATTTCCCAAGGAGTCAAACAACATCGTAGGCAAGAAGAAAAAAGGACAAGCTGGTGCCGCAGCACTTCTCTTCTGCTCTGAACTTTGCGATTCTTCAAGCAATCACAGTAGAGGGATTCCAGAAGTAGCATTACAAAATTAAGAAGCTTTAAATGAATAAACAGCCTGTCCTTATTCCAGCCTGTTTGTTAGCATCCTGCCACACCAAGTCTGAGGGAAGCTGCCACAAAGCCTGCCGAGCCACTGCAGACGGCCAGCATGGGTTTTGTAATGAGAAGCATCAAAACCTCTTGATGCTGCAGAATGTGGGTCGGCACACAACGGCACGGTGCCAGCACGGGATGGAGGAGTCATCCACTGCGATGCTACCCAGGGCTGCGAGCTTGGAACATCTCATGCTATTGCAGTGACTGGACTACAGCGAGGCAGGGAGAAAGCTAAATATATACCACTTCAAAAAGCAGCACTCCCCTGCTCTTGTTTAGCATGCATCTGTTGAAAGGCACAGAGAGGCTCTAACTACAGAAAGAAAAATACAACCTAGCACACCATCCTTGAAACATTTCCAACATGCAAATACCCACAGCTGCTTATACTGCAGCAGTGTCAGAAGGAGATCTGTTACTGCAAGAGGCCACATCTATCCCTGCTGCTATAGCAGAGACCCAGCAGTGGGGGCTGGAGAACACCTACATGAGCAGAGTTCCAGGCTTAGTTCAGAAATGAGGGCATCTGGGCTGTAAATTTGCCCTGTGCAAAATAGAATCATAGAATGGTTTGGATTGGAAAGAACCTTAAGATCATTTAGTTCCAACCCCCCCTGCCATGGGCAGGGACACCTCCCACAAGACCATAGGCACAAATTGGGAGCACAGAAAAGTCCAGAAACTGGTCCTCCAGCCACTTGGAGGAAGATGAGCCTTGTCTCATCCTCCCAACCAATCAATCAACCAACCAGTTAATAAATTACAGAAAAGAAGCAACAACAACAAAACCCCTTAACCCTCCTGCTCCTGTTTCTCCTAGGTTATAAGCCAAGCAATGTGCCTCTCCTTTGGGCATCGGGAAGAGCTGTGGACAGAGCGGCTGCCCCAGCACGGTCCCTGTGTGCTCACAGACAGCTCTGACAGGGCTGCGGCTGGAGCTCAGCCACCACTTGGCAAAGCTCCCCAGAGTGCAACTGCACCGCAAGATGGAGGGAGAAAATATCCTAGCAGCAAAGCCTGAGCTGCGGTATCAAAGGAAGCCAAACCAACCAAGCACAGAACCAGCCACAGACATTTCTGCCAGCCTGAGAACAGAAGGAATGAAACGCTTGTGGTCTCTAAGCTGCCTGAGCCATAGGGTGAGCCTTCAGTGCCTTTCAGCCTGACCAACACAAGAATTGGGTGTGATCTGCATCCAGATCTCAGGATGCCCCTGTCCTGGGTTCAGCTACAGCAGTCATTTTGTCTCCTTCTTAGTAGCTGGTGCAGTGCTGTGCTTTTGACTTTCAGTCTGGGAACAACGCTGATAACACCGATGTTTTTAGTTGTTGCTCAGTAATGTTTACTCTGACCAAGGACTTTCTCAGTCTCATGCTTTGCCAGAGAGGAGGGGAAGCCAGGAGGAAGCAGAGGCAGGACCCCTGACCCAAACTGGCCAAAGGGGTATTCCATACCACAGCACGTCATGCCCAGTATAGAAACTGGGGGGAGTTACCCGGAAGGCCAGATCGCTGCTCGGGTCGGGCTGGGTATCGGTCGGCGGGTGGTGAGCGGTTGTGTCCTTTTCCCTTGTTATTCCTCTTATCATTATTATTGGTAGCAGTAGTGGTTTGTATTATACCTTAGTTACTGGAGAGCTGTTATCTCAACTCGTGGGAGTTACATTCCTTCGATTCTCCTCCCCATCCCTCCGGGAGCGGGGGGAGGAAGGAAAAGGGGGGGAGTGAGCGAGCGGCTGCGTGGTTCCAAGTTGCCGGCTGGGCTTAAACCACGACAGCCCCAAGCTGCAGAGGGACCTGCCCCACTTCCAGCTCGACTCCACCAGCACAAGGGATGGGCCATGGAAAAGAACTGAATTTAACTGAGGCTTCAGAGTAAATAAAATTTACATCTCCTAGAATTGTGTTTCTCCTACCAATGACAACTAGGTGAACAATCCTGCTTCTCCATCCTTAACATCACAACTACATGCAAGTCTCAAAACAGCACAGCCAACTGTTGGGATTTTGTGGTTCAGAGATACAAATGTGGTATTGGATCCTCCCAGGACCACGACAGTTCACCAGAGCTGCCAGTTCAACACAGATGGCATCCGCCTCCCAGCTGCTGGCAGAGACAGAACTTCTCCTCCCGTCTGGGTAGCATGGAGAGCTTGGGCTGCCCATCTTCCTTGTATCAAAGAGACACTAAGGAGAAGGCAAAGGAAGTTAAGCATGAAAAATGTTCTAGCAGAAGACTTTTTGTTTCAGCCTAAATCTGTGGAGAAGCAAGAGAGAAATCATCAGTGATTTTCCTTTTGTTAATCCATGTTAGGAAGTGCAATCTATTTCCAAAGTGAGATGCAAGCAGCTGTTGATGAACAGGGATAAGGATGCTAGAGCCATCTGCAAGGGGCTCAACATCCCATGGGGATGTTGGGGATGTTGAGACATGCATCATAAAACTCTGGCCACCAAATCCTGCATTAACAGGATACATCTGTCCTTGGGGTGCCAGCTCTGCTGGTCATGGGAGAAAGAGGCAGGATTTTGTGCATGGAGATGGATTGGTCAGCATCGTGCCCAGAGTGTGAAGTAGGAAGCCTGGCCTGTGTTAGGTGGAAGAACAGCAATCCTGTTTGAGTGTGGACAGGCAAGGGCAGGCAAGTTTTGTTCTTGACTGTCACAAAGGAAGTCCCCTCCAACTCCTCCAGCATTTGAGGCATTATTGTTCCATAGTAACTCCTTACTAAATCACAGCTCTGACCTTTCAGATTCTCATCAACACAAGCACTTCTGAGTCCCCAGAAAACCCCACATAGAATCACAGAACATGTTTCCCACCTTCCCTAAACCAGGACAGGGGTGATGCCTGAAGACCAGTTCAAGGTGGGCGTAGAACCTGAAAGGTCCCAGACACCCAAGATGGTCAAACAAACGCAAGCCTTTCCCTCTCTCTACCTTGGGAGAGACAGGGTTAAAAAAACAAAAAAGTCTTTGCTGAAGCTATTTTTCTGAATTTAAAAAAAACCAACCCAACAACCCAAAACAATGGCTCTACCACGTTCAGCTACATTTGCACCATCTCCTCCCCTAGACCTGCAGCATCACTCTGTCTGGGAGCACCTTCCTGGTGGCTTCTCCTTGAGATCTCTCCCACAACAGCAGAGGTGTTCCAGCAATAGGAAAGGTAAGAGGCTGGGGATTTTATCCTGGAGAAAAGTAATCCCAGCAAGATAATCAGAACATGTTCAAGAGTGTGCTCCTCCACAACACACAGTGGCTTTGCCAATCCTCAAATAATTTCTGTACTTGTAGGAACTGTGGAAGCTGCTGCCAGAAGTCATTTTAGATCAAAACCAAGATTTGGGAACATTGCATAAACGGATGTGCTTTTTTATTGTCAGATGAGACAGTGCCACTTACTCCTGGGCCTTCCCAGATTCAGCATTCGAGCATTATCAAATAGGGGTTAATAGATGCACCACCAAGATACTTCACAGGCACAAGAGGTGTCCTCTTTTGCCTTTACTATAAAAGGCTTTTTGTGTGATGCAGGAAGACAATAACTCTTCTAAATAGCTATTACAAGAAGATTAAAAATATTAAGTCACTTTGAGTATGAGCATAGGTACTCATGAACACTTTGTCCCACCTTTGGTATGATTTCAGGTTTGGGGAACACCACAGAGCCTTCCTACCCAAACGCTGACATCTCATGCAGGGAGCCCTATGAACCTTCCCTGTACTTCTGTTCTGGGCACCTCTTACAACACTTGAATACATCATCTGGCTGCTCAGAACCTCACACCATTTCACACCACCACCATGCCACCAAATTACACCTCCCTCGTCAACAAGGGACACCCCATTAAAGCACCAATACTGGGAGGGATCTGAGCGACCAGCACTCAACAGTTTGCTAATACTGAAATTATACCCTCTAGACCCTCTATAAAGAATGGTTTCACAAAGATAGAAAATGCCCTTGGTACTGTGCAGGATTGGACCCTAAAAACCAATTTCAGTTCATCTTCTTGCTCCCTGGACAGTACAACACGTTCTGGCCACCCAACCCTCTCAGTCTACAAAATCTGCACCAGCTTACTAAAGGTTTATTCTATGCTGTATAGGAGACAATACCTTTTCTCTTGCTTTCATGGAGGAGATTATTTGACATTTAGGCAAAAAAAAAAAAAAACTATCACCTTGTCACTAAACCCCAGCATTTCTGCATTACAAGTAACCCAGCATCTCATATAGCTGATAAGCAAGTTCTGTGTTGATGCAGAAGAGCTACTTGAAAAGGCAGAGGAAATCAATGGGCAGAAACTGGCATTTTTGTAGCCTTAGAAACTTGGAAGAGTCTGGGGAACAGACAAACTATTGACTTCCCTGCATCATCTCAACTGTACTTATTAAATAAGATCCCACATGTAGTATAAACTCTACCATATGCGTGCAGAAGAAAAAATGATTTTCAGGGCCTGTTATAAATGAAACCTCTTCTGTGGCTTAAAAAAACATATCATGCTAAACCTAAAATATTACAGAGGCTGCAGCTGCACAAACAAATAAATATTGTTTACCAGCAGAGGTATTTACTTACTGACAGTCAAGAAACGTTGGTTTATAATAAAACGGTGGCATTTTAGATTCATATTTTGCTTTTGCTACATTGTTCCCATTTGCGGCCATAAACTGTAAAAAGAGAAAAAGCAGAAAGAATTAAAAAATGTTAATAGTATTTTCTTTTGTTTTCTTTTGCTTCTACACAGTAATAAAATCGTTGGGATGGGGCCTCTGTTCCCTTACTGAGTGGTTTCCCCAGGACTGTACATGAGAGGGATGCTGTAAAGACTGCGCCTGCAAATCAGGGCTCAGAAATTAACATTTTTATTGCCAGGGCTCCCCCAGCTTAATATGATGCTGAGGACAGGTTCATGTCCCAGTCACACGTGCACCATCCCCACTGGTCCCCACAGAAGCAGCACACGGTGGCATTTCCCACTCGCAGGCATGGGAATGAGATTACTCCCAGGGAATCCAGCACAGAAATGAGGTAACCAGAGGGCAAAACCTGACACTAACTTCAAGTCCCCATGTGTTACAGTTCCAGAGAGGTAACAGTCTCTGACAATACACCCTTTGTTTTGGATCACATCACTTGTTCCAAAAGGATAATTTTATTTTTGCAAAGCCATGCCAGCAACCTCAGAAAGGAGTCTGAAGCATTTCATAAATAAATAAATAAAGATTCTATCTGCCCTGACAACCCGCCTTTCCTTCTGATCTCGTATATGAAAGTCTAGTTGAGAACTCTGCAAACAAACCCACATATTCCCCTATTCATAAATTTTATTTAATGAAAGTCACTTTGTAAGTGTAAAAAAAACCCCATTCTTTTCCAGGCAGCCATGCTAAATACATTTTGTCTTGTATCAAATGCCAAGCATACAAGCATAACAAACAGCTAAGCACTTTTTTCCCCCCTCTCCTAAGCATTTTTCCCCCCATTATTTTCATGGTTTTGAGCTTCTCAAAGTTTACATATTCAATCTATTCTAAAAAGAAAATCAGGGAAGGGAAAACCAGTGCAACACAAAGGCCTATTTTTCTCATAAAACACATGACTCCATGAGCTGTGGCTTTCAGAAAAGCCTCAAATCTACAACATACAAAAACAAGATAAAGATCAAGGACTGGTAGTGTTCTTCATGCCTCTAAAGATACCAAGAGTCAAAGTAGATAGGTTTTCTGGGTAGGCTTGTATTTAGCAACATCACCCAAATCTAGGCAGGTGTGTGGCATAAAGAGAATTTATACTGTGAGGGTTCAGTTCTTCAAGATGTGAGTTTACGTGTCTTCAACACTATGTAGAACAAAGCCAGAAACTGCTGAGCTGGGCAGGGGTGGTAGACTCAAGGTCTAGTCTACTGCCTGGTCTAAGCTACAGGTAAGGTAAGAAACAGAAGACAGTTCATTTAAAATTAGTAACATCTACACACCCTATTTCGTTGACATTTTTACAGGAGTGGGGGAAACCCTCACAACTTCTTCATGAAATGGTTATTCCATTTTTCAACCAGCATCATGGATGTCATTCCCACATTCAGGAATTATCAACACATGTTTTCTAACATCACTTTTGTTGTGGCATCTTCAGAAAGGATTCTGTTTTACAGCCTTGATGGTAAAACGCAGCAACCCAAGCTCGCTGGTACTTCACACCTTAGATGCACGTACCTCCACTTGAGCATCATCCCAGTCATCCAGGCGGACTGACTTCACTTTGCTGACTTGGGGAATATTGCGATGGATTCCTGAACAATTCAAGCAGATGAAGATCCCCAGGCTGTGGGATGCCCAGTCCGGGTCTGAAAGCAAGAAGGAAAGAGAGAATTGCACTTGACTGGTCTATGGGATTCAGTGCTAGAGGAAGGAGAGATGGGGCAGGACAGGTCATGGCAGGGGAATTCAGGAATCACCAGGTCCAAGTTCCTTGATTATAAAGGCATCAAATAAATAAACAAGCAAAATAGATATATGTGACAATTATATTGATAGTAATACATGTCAAACTAATCACAGATCTGCAATCTCAAGTGGATCTGTTATTTGCAAAACCCCAATATACAGACAACTGGATGTTGTCCATCTTTCACCAGCAAATCCCACCCAAGTGCTGCACGGAACAGAAACTGCACAATTAAAACAAACACGTCAGGGCTGCTGCTCTGCTGTTCTCTTGCCTTGCTAGTTTTTGTTTTATTTTGTTTTATTTTCATTTATTTTTCATTTTCTTTATTTTTGACAGTGGGAGCGCTCCACAGAGAGACTTGCCTCCCACAGCTACAGCTGCCCAGCAGCACAGCTCTCCATGCCAGGAGGTTTCCAGCCCTTGCCTTGATGGAAAAATGCCACCAGTGGCAGCTCTGTACTTTCTCTGAGCAGAACCACGCGCTGTTTACAAGCCCTGAGCTGACGTCTCACACAAAGCACTTTAAACACAAGTCCCTCGCCTCCAAATTCCTCCTCGGGAGAGGCACTGCCTGAAGCACAGGGTGATGGAGAGGAACTGGAGGAGGGCAGGGGGCAGGGCAGGACACATCCACCAGTGTCCCCAGTGCTGCCTCGCTAATAAAGCCAATACAGGGATCTTTGTTTGAACTCTGACTAGCAAATGTCAGCGCCTGCTATTCCAGCTGTGTCCCAGCCGAAAGAGCTTCCCTGCAAGTCACAAAGTCAGCCCCTAAATCCTTCCCCTCACCCCATCCTCCCCCAAACCTACTCCATCGCATGAGGCTGTCAAAGGATAAGGGCAGGTCCTCCCTTCTCACAAACCCTCGTCATTTGTTTATTCCCCTGCAGTAACTACATGAAACACTCCTCACAGTACAGCTATTATTTATAAAAGCAAGGGAACGTGCTTTCTCCTCCTTCTACATGTTTAATGGTCTTGCTGTATCAGTGCAGCAGGAGCAGGCTGGTGTGGGGCAATGCAGCTCCTCTGCACAGGGTATCGACGTCTGCTACCAGCCCCTGCCCATGGGGATGGCCGCCAACCTCCCCCTGCACATATTAGGGAAGATAAATTTGGTTCCCCAGAGGTGGCTATGTTCAGATATAAACGAGGAGCCTCACTGGATGCAGTTGGGTGCCCACCCAGGAGCGGGAGTATACTCCTAAGCTGTTACAAGTCCCACCCACTGCAGCTCGATTGGCACAGGGCTGGGACCAGCAGCCACAAATAAAGGTGTTTATTTTCTGCTTCACATGGTCTCCCATCCTCATGCAGGACCCTGATGACTATAGCTCAGGCCTGGCAAATACGGAACCAATAGAGTCAATCTAAGTGAACTGCAGCAGCAACCAAGTGCTGCCCACTCCCAGCCACACCAGTGAGGACAGGGCCCCACTAGCACTGACCCCCTCATCCTGCTCCTCCCATAAGGACCAGATCAGTTGGCTTCACAGAACACCTGAGGTCAGACACCCCACTTATTCCAATTGCAGAGACTGCTGCCAGTTACTGAACTATATTGGCCACAAGAATCGAGTTTTGCACACTCACGCATGTTTCTGTGCTTCAACTCCTCAGCTGTCCTGCCCCATCTCCAAGACACCTGGCTGTAATCAAAGTCTGGGACCTGCCGAACTTCCTAGCACAAAACCAATCCAAGGTGCAGCACTGCTGCTTCATGATCGCCCAGGACCGTGGGACCAAACAATGAGAGTCATGCAAGGTAAAAGCATCTGGGACTCTGGTTGAAAAATCCACCTCTGACTTCCATGCAGAGGATCAGGCATGAGGAAGGGCAAGAGGGTCTGGAGGACAGGGCAGCCACAGAGCAGCAACAGCAGTGAGGAAGAGGAAGCAGCAGCAGTGAAGTTTAGAGCTGGCAGCTAATGTGGCCACCAACTCCCTGTGCTCAGCACAGCCACTCCACAGTAACTGCTTCAAGCCTTCCCGGTGCAATGTGTTCTGATCAAAGCAGTGCCTGTCTCAGGAAAATGGGTATCAAAGTATGCATTTGCCTCCGCAGGTTTTATTAGGAGACCCAACACTTGTTTTGTGTTGACAAATTTATCTTAGGCACACAGGTGGATTTCTTCATGTTGTCTGCAACTTCCTAGGCTTGAAGAAGCAACCCTTCCACTACCTGCACTGCTGTGCACAACAGGACCAGGAGACATCACACCTTCCTCCAGCCAAGGATGACGACACATTTGGGTGAACATCCTGAAAGAAGATCCTCAGGCTCCGATGGAGAAGACTGCAGCTCTAGTGGACACTAAGCCAACTTATACCCAAGCCATCTCTTCTTAACATGGATAAGCAACACCTTAAGCAACAGGTTTCAATCACAAGCAGGCTTTAAAGCATTCTCCTCACAGCAACAGTATTTTCTTTAGACCAGACTCTTAAATATGCTTCCCCCCTGCTCCACATCATGTCAAGCCATGTCTCATTAAGGAAGCAAAAGCTGGACTATATCACAGAATCACATATTCATGGTCACACGTGCATGGTTTTTCATCAGAAGATGATAGTATTTCAGAGGAGCAGAGACAACAGGGTCAGTGGTGCCCCAACCCTTAGAAGGGATGCTGTCAGCTTGTTCAATAAACCTACACCTGCTAGTTGTCTCCTCCTGGTGTCCTTCCTTTCAGTGTTTCCTCTCTTGCCTAGACCCAGCCTCGATGTCCACCCAACACTAACAGCATCCCACACAGCAAACTTGGAGGCGCACCATGATGGAGCTGCACGTTTCACTTTATGACCAGACCCAACACCAGCAGTTCACATTGCTGTCATATATTAATAGCAACTTCCTCTTCACTGCTCTTCTGGTTTTAGAAATACGTATATTTTAAATCCAAAATCATGCAGCAGGGGTGGATGGAAGAGTTGTAGATGGTTGTGTGCTGCTTCCAAAACTTCACGAATTTGGCAACTGTCTCTATTGCCAAAGAGAACACCAGGCAGAAGAGTTCCCTCAGGCACTGAGTCAGGCCCATCCAGAAAATCGCCACGTAGCAAAATCCTCCAGAACCAACAGATCTACCTGGGGAAGTGCCTCAAACATCAGGCTGAAGACGTGTAGCTGAGAAAGCAAGCATCCCAAGCCTTCCCGGAGTTTAGCTGACAGCCAAAAGGAATTTCTAAGCATCAACTGAACAAGCCAGAGGGTTATGGGCCCACACAAGCCCCAGGGCTGGTGTGACACACCATGCCACCACAATGCCTGAGACAGGAAGGAGGAGGGTGGAGGATTCCCTGAATCTATCTTCTGGAGGGTTCTGCCAACGCTGCTTCCCCTTCTGTGCACGCCCTGAACTTGTGACACCGTTTTCAAAGAACCCGATAGCTGTGAGCCTGCTGGACCAGACATCTGCAGGAACTGGTGACAGATCCCCCGGCAGACAGCTGTTGGCTGAGGAAAGCACCCACTTCTGCAGGGATGCTTGTCCAAAGCCCTTTTATAAGATTTGCGGCTGCCAGTGGCTACCCGAACACATCACAGTCCCTCTCTGTTCACTCCTGCTCTCCGTCACAAACAACATGAAAATTCTCAGCTCAGGAACATGGTAGATGACGCCAGTGATCTCTAACCTCAGCATAATCATAGACTCCAACCCTTCAAATGACAGCGCCATCACTTTGAGATAAGACATCTTATCAAGCAGGTGAATAAACGCACGTAAGCATCTTCATACAAGACAAGTGAGTTTTGGGGCAGCACATTTAGCGAGCCATTGACTCTGAGCTGTATGGCTGGCAAGCTGTGGTCTCCATAGCTAGGTGAAGTCCACCTTGCTGCTAGACACTTCAACAGCCGGAATGTGTTCTCCATGCCTGACATTGCTGGGGAGGTCAGTAATTCTATTTAAGCCATTTTATCTGGGCAGGGCCCAAAAAAGTGCACCACAATGGCAATATATCATAACCTGGACCTTTTGGGCACCACCCAAAAAAGATGATTTTTTCTAAGCCTCCAGAGTTTCAAGCAAGTAACAGTGAAGCCTAGTGAAAACTCTCCGGCATGCCTAAACTCCACACAAACAACTTTATTCCATTATTGAAGCCAAAAGGAATAAAGACTAACAAGGAGCAAGGGGAATATTAAACTAAATACACTGTTGTAAGTGCGAAAAGTCTCTCATCCTGCAGCACTGGTGCTCCAGAACAACCGATGTCAGCTCTAGAAGGCTTTCACTGCCTGATGTAGTAGAGATTTCTGGTCACTTACAAACAGATTATAATGACTTTCAAAACAAAATCTTGATGCAGCTTCATTTTTTAAATTAAATACATAAACAAAACTAAACTCAGGAGAAGGGCACTGTGCTGGTATTTTCCCGGCTCATTCATCTGACACGGAAGGCACAGCCAGAGAAGCATCCAGAGCAAAACTGAAACACTTGGGCAACACGGCTAAATTCAAAAATTAAACTTCCACACAGTCCCTTTTGCCACCACCAGCCCTAAGAAAACCAAGAGCAGAGAACAATGAACTCTGCAGCTTGAACCCAACATTACTCAGTGGAAGAACAGCCCATGGAGGGAAAAACAAAGGCTGGACCCAGAAAACTAACAAACAAGAACCAACATAAGAGAATATAAACATAGAGTTCCAGTTTGAAAATTCCTAGATGCCATCAACCCAAGTAAAATCACATGAAGCAGAGGAGCAGCAGGCTCATAGTAGCCACAAGAGCTAGAACTCGAGTCCCAAAACTTACTCAGTGCCCCCACTCCGCCCTTTGCCTTAAACCACAGTTCCAACCATATGTATATAGTGGTGTACATGCTATATACTATACTAGTGCTATGTATAATATGCACTATATATAAATATACACTATATATATTACTGACTAAGAGAATATCAGTGAGAACATGGCCAATGCACACCATTAACACATCC